GGGGGGGGGGGGGGGGGGGGGGCTCTAAAATTTCCTATTTTACGGTATTAATTGTTATTCAAAAGGTAAAAATAGGAAGTACTAATTGATCTGAAAAATCGTTGATGTTAATTTTGTTTTACTTCAAACTGCATCATTGAAAACATACAAATATGAAACATTACAAAGAACAAAAAAAGTCTAATTGAAACGTTTATATATTTTTCCCTTAGAATACTTTTATATGCAGAAATGGATTTGCTACCTAACATGTGATTATTTATTTATCCAAATATCACAAATTTCAAAAATGCGACCGGTAAGATGCAATTAGAATTTTTTTCAGCTGATACTGAAATCGGCATTAATTTGCACTTGAAATTTTTTATCAAGCTACGAAATGTGTTTATATTTCAAGAGTACATCACATGAGTAAAATAGGCAACAGGGGTGGATCCAGGCCATCAGACTTTTGTTAAATAATAAACATATTTGTTGTTATATTGTAAATTGTTTTTGTATATGTAAGACACTATATAATATTTTTTGAATAATTATATAATTCTAACAAATATTTAGATCAATTTTGCCAAATAAGGGAAGGTAATATAAATGAAAACTAATCCTTTTTGAGGGGGCCACTGCCCCCATCCCCCCGCCCCTGGATCCGCTACTGACACATCACAAGATCATAAAATTTCCTCGCTATTCACCACTTTAAAGTAAGCTGTAATTGATGCTGTGACAAAATAACCACCTGTAGTATTCAGTAATTCTCAACAATCTGAAGCACGAGATTGGTGTCCAAGGCAATGCCTTGATTGCTTACAATTGCTAAACACCATGACTCTTTCATTGCACCAGAAGTAATTGGAACTCACAGACTCTTCTCTAAACACACTTTCAGTCTCTTCCGATTCCTTCGGGTTGCATTTCTCTTGAAATCTGCTAGCAGGACTTTTCCAACCCGATAATGATCCCTCATCAGAAAACAAAAATCTGAAAAACAATAGAATATGTTTGAGAACATGGTTAGGTAAAAAAATAATCAATAATCAACATTATCCAAATGTTAACTTAAAAGCAAAAATGTAATCAATTATCACTGAATATGTCATCTATTAGAATACAAATACACATGTATGTTAAATGTATACAGTCAGAAATTTACGCATTCATTTAATTAAATGTTCATTAAATAAATTATAATGAATACACATTAAACTGAATGTACACGTACATTAGGATGCAAGAATCAAAACTTTACAATCATATCAGGAATGAATGAACTTGAGGTACTGGTGATTACCAATAAATGATGAGAGGCAAGGGAAACGGGAGAATCTACACTGATTTTAAATTCAATGTTAGATTTATAAAAACAAGAGTTTATAAAAAATATGTTCAAAGAAAACCAAACTTAATATAATTTTAATTTTATGGCCTGTCCATTTACATCCATTTGATAACTTAATTCACATGCATACATATGCTCTCATATTATCTCTGCTTTTCGGCAATTTTTTTTATTTCTCTTCTAATTTTTACAATACACTTTTTACTGATTATATCAAAACAATGAAAATCTTGTGGAAACTATCCCTAAACCTCAATCTTCACATACTGAAGTAACAATGAGGCTTTAAGAGCTGACATGCATGCTCATCTGGTAGACCAAAGAATATATTTCACAGAGTGGTGCTCAACTGTTTCAGTAACTGTTAAAAACAATTGACCAGCAACCCGAAAAAGCATACCATTCCTTTATTATAACTCTTAATTGTTGGACATTATTTTCGCATTCTGAACAATTAACATCTTTGGCACTTTTAGATAATTCTAGTATTACTCGCACAACTTTTCTTGAACAATGACCTTGCTTCCCCCTCTCTTTCACAATAAACAATTGAAAGCAAAAGCTCGCAGCGAGCACTGATGACAACATTCCAAACACATCTTCACTACCGCGAAATAGAAGCAATTTTCTTTTGATGGTGAGAACTTCTATCAGTTATTTTTTCCAAAAATCTAAAGAAATGAACAAAGCAGGAAAAGATCTATCACAAGAGCTACCTCAAAATCCTGAGAAAGTTAAAACACAAATTATTGAGAATGTTGCAAAGCCATGACTGATTCTCCAGAGATTGGCATTGCTTCATAAAATCTAATAGCAGATTTCGTGACTAATACCCCCACTTTACCCACATTTCTTCGATCCATCGTTCAAGAAAAGTTGCGCAAGTAACACTATACCACTTATTGGTACTAGTACTATAGTGATGTTAATTGTTTAGAATACAGATGTAATATCCAAGAATGAACCTGTTTATAATAATGGATAGTTTTAGTTTTCAAATTAACTTTTTAAAGAAGATTCTACTGTACATAAAACGAAAAAAAATTCTGAAAAGCTAACAAATAATGCTAATTTTACTATAATGGATTTGACACTCTCCTCTAATCTCCAATTAATTGCCTACAATTAAATGTATGTATAACATACCAGTCAACATTACAGTCAAGGTTTTTGAAATAACTCTTCAGACCACTGAAGCTTCCAGACAGACAATAATTATAAATCATCTTTACATTTCTGAAATAAAAAAGAAAACCATTTCAATAATTGAATAAGTAAATAAGGCACAGTTTCTCCGAACCTCAAATTATTACAAAATTAATCAGATATCAAGATAAACAAAAATGTTTATCTTCTTCTCTTTTAACAGATCAGGATTATTAATTATCAACTATCAAAACTAATCCATATTTTGCAGGATCTTCCTAACACCTCTTCCTACTTTTCTACAGAGCATTTGTTTACAAAGTTGATTTCCTGGTATTTTTCTCAGTAATTTAAACACATGTCTATTATACCATGGTCTACATTACTTGATATTATATTTTTCTCTTTCTAATATCCTAATTTCTAGGTAATATCTTCCCTTGTGCAGTCACAAATATAAAGAATATTTCCACCACCTAAATTGTGTTTTTATCCCTCAGTACTTGTAACCAATTTTCAGACACTCAACATGGATAACCTTTCAGGATTACATTTTGGATTGGTTTTAGCTCCAAATTTCCCCATAATACAAAGCATTACATATCTGAATTGAACAAAACAAAATAAATGAGCTTTTTTTCAGCAATTGTAAGCTTTTTTTTAGGGCAAACGTTTAATAACAAAAGTGGCATGTATGAGTATTTTTCATAAATAATAACTTTATTTACACATGCAAAAGACAGAAGTGAAAGGGTAGAACTTCACTTTAGTGCATTTCTTTCCGAAACTATAAATCTTACAAACTTGGGAGTTTTTTTAATACAAATATAAATACTGTAGTATACTGAACAATCTTTCTACATTGTTAAGCATAGTTAATAAAAAATATTTCTGGGAATGTTACGAAAGAATTTTTTTTTTTAAATTTTACTCACGTAAAATTGCAAGATTTTGAACTTGATACTTATAACTTATAAGAAATTTTGAAATTCACAGCAATCACCATTCACAGAATGTATGTTATTCCTGGTACATAATTATTTTCACGTAACAAAAGATTTTAAGAATTTAGACTCTACACTAATATAAACAATTTTATATCCACCTTTTACGTCAACAATTAACAAAAAAATAGTCACTTACTTCTGTTAAATCAAAATACTTCTATTTCTTTTTTCCAGGGGCCAATGACGTGGATCTTATTTCAAGAGTTACAATTGTTTCCATGGTAAGTCAACATTACTTTCATTCGTTGTCTTCGTAAAACGATTGCCATAAAACTTTCGTTTCCCAATTTCTTTATTTCACCCATATTGATGGAGAAAATCAGTTTCGGCGGCGAAACCACACCACGCAACTAGCACAGCCACAAAACTTAAACCAAAGTGATGGCAGCCAGCATCCGATGTTGATTGAACCGATAGACCGATTCCTTTTCAGACTGATTCGTTGAATCATTGAAATCGTTCACCAGTTGTAGCGGTATCTGTGCTGTGATAGGTGGAACGCAGTTATCTAGGCGGCTCTTTCAAAATTTCGAGAAAACGGAAGTTAATAAATAATGTAATCATAGCATATTTAGTACTCCTCGGAAGAAACGAACATAATGTTTTTATGAATCATTTAAATCATAAATAATATCATATTGTATTTCAAACTGGACAATTAATCTCAAGTTCCCTTCCAAATGAATAAATGCTTGGAAGAATAATTCCGAATTCATGGAATATCTACGAAGTGGGTTGTTACTTTTACATATCTGCATTAATTTGTGGTTCATAAATTTTAAATGTATATTCAATAATAGAACCATAATTTATAGGTGAATTCTTAAATACTCAACGCTTTATGACGTTCCCCGAATGATAATACAGGCCTGAGATTCGTTCTTACGTCTCGTGAGTCACGAAATCGATTCATTATTCACTAGCGCCATCGCGGATCAGACGCAACATCAAAGAACTACATAGGTAATAGACCGATTCACTCACTTGGTGCAACTGTACCAATCATCGATTGGAAATGCGGGAAAATGCGATGGCAATGTACACTGAAAAATAACTCTCAGGCAGTATTTTTAAAAGGCAAATCCAAAGTATAAAATATATGTTATATTATGACGATTAAATACTTACAAAAACATTGACACATAGCGCTATAAATTCGTGTACGAGAGAAGAGCAAACTACAAAGTAATCGTTGGGGCAAACGATTCCAACAGTTGAAAAGTAGGGAAAGAATCGTTGATTCATCCAATCACTCGTTGCAAACACCATGTGTAACACCATAAAGTGTGTATATTATCCGCCCACGTTTTCTTGACCCTTGCATCACTAGATTCGAGAGTGGGGAGTTTGATTATTTTGACATAAGGAATTTTACATCGATTTTGTAGTTCACTTTTCGATGCAAAATAGTTTCTAATATACGGGAGTGAACATTTCTCATTACTATATTTTGTCTACAACGCTCATTGCTATCATTTATTCTTAATTCAACAAATGTTGGGAAAGGAGTGGGGGTAGATATTTCGTGGCTCAAGGAAACGCGCGGAAACTTCGAAACAAGGTATAGAACAGTTGAAAACAGAAGTTCCCTGAACGGAGAGAATTATGTATCACATCTTCACGGAGTAGCGAATATGTACAAATTTTTTGAAAAAAAAAATATTCCGAAATTATCCTAAATATGAAGGAAAACCGAACTACAATAATAATAGAACACAGAAAGTATGCGTAACCTAATTAAAGGGGCGTGTGCAGGGAGATTTAAATTGCTATCTAAACCATTTAAATGATTGAAAGGGGAGAAACTCTTGAAAAGGAAAGACTAGAATGTTTTTGAGAAAGAAAACAAAACATCACATTTTTTGTCAAAATTGACTACAATCTGCCATTAAAATTATAAAACTTCATTAGAATTTCTTTAGGGGGTGCCTTTTAAAGTTGTTTATTCCTGTTTCTTCAGCGAAGAGAAAAATAGCGAATTTTCAACAGAAAACTCTAATTACAGACCCTTTCCAAAGAAAAAGTGGATAAATCCAGATGTTAAATTTCGAAAAAAAAATCGTCAACGGTGAGTAGTCAAAATCCATGTTTTGTGGCTCCTTAATATCAAAAAATCTGACGTCAAATCCTTTGTGAAAAACGCTTGTGTCTAAACCGTTCAGTCTATTTTCTCCAAAATTGATATTCCTCAATCGATCTGGCTGATGTCACGGCCCCTTGAATTTGAAACTGGTAATTTAAATTTCGGGGGTAGTTTATATGAAACCCCTGGGACATTTTCAAAAAATAACTCCAACGTTAATGATTAAACGTTACTGTTGAGAGTGTGAAGGACGTTTAAAAGGTCTCATAGGTGAAGGACGTTTAAAAGGTGCAGGTCTCATAATCGTTAAATATCCTGATTTTTGGAAAATTGAAAAAATTCAACATTTTTCGGCGTCTATCTATAAGTAACCGATGTCTCTAAAGAAAGAGACTTAAATTTAGATTTATTTAGTCAAAATCCAGTAAAAACTGCATGTGACGTAGGGGGAGATTATCTGCGCACGTTTTCTTGAGTTCCAGAATCCCTTCCCGTCATTTTAACGAAAAATGTTTGAAAGATGAGTAAAAGTATAACATAAATAAATAAAAATAAATTTTAAAAATCGTAAGATAAGCAATATCTGAAAAATAGTCATTTTTGTTTCCGAGTCGTAGAAAACTTTTTTGCATCGGTACAGGAATTGCAAGTATGATTTTTTTACATTGCTAACAAAATAGCAACTCGCCCTTACCTCTTCTCCTAACATTACAAGCAAAAGGAGAGTTAAACAAAACGTGTTCATATTGAAGCTACATTTACGACCAGAAGCAAAACAAGGGACATTCACGGATACGTGACGAATTTCACTATGACCTTACAAAAATGACTGATTTGTTTAAAAAAAACGCATTCAAATTTTCATTTCAAATGCAACCCGCAGCATCAACTGCATTGTCAAAATCTATATAGTTACATAATTTCTAAACGAAGCAATCCAGTCTTAAAACTTAAAATGTTGATGCCAAAGGCTTCAAAAAACGTTTCTCACACCCTAATCGATTGTATAAGATACTTATGAACATTTTGTTACATTTTTGCTGGTCCAGTGATTATCGATAATATCCAATATCAACTATATTATTTGGCGTTGGAGGTCATCTTTGTTCGTGCTTAGAAGACTTAGATGTCTACAATTGATATATGCTTTCTATGTGCACCGTATCTGCGCGGACTAACGAGGTTTATTTGCATAATTATTCATTCAAAATTATGCAAATAAACCTAAATTTTCTCGCAGGAGCAATTAGAAAAATGAATAGTCGTTTGGTACCGATGAAGATAGCTTTTATGGGAATAGAAAAACCGTTCATTTATAAAATGTAAATATTCACATTCTTGTTTCTGCGAATAGTTTATAATATAACTAGGTGGCGGATTTTCATCACTTAAAACATTGCCAAAAATGATCAATTAAATACTCTTAAAATTCCTTAAAAACAAAGATAACTGACATAAAAATTTTATCAAAACAACTTCAAATGAACACCTCAAGTTGTTGGGTTTGGTACTGATCTAATTCACGATTCTTCCTTTTGCTCAAATGAATTCGGTTTGCAAACTTTTGGTTTGGACTGTTCTTTAAAAGAAAAATGCCGCTGATAGGAGTCACAGGAACCTTAGATTACATAGTACTCGCAACGGTTGGCATTACAATATATGAGGGAAAAAATCGAATACGCTACTCAGGACTTATGTGAACATTTGTTGCACCTTGTAAATATTGTTTGAAGCAAATACCATTTAAACGATATTAAAGCCAATGGAATCAGCAAAAAATGCATTAAAAATTACGCAAAGAGGTAAAAATTACTTATTAGTAGAAATCGCCGAAAAATGCAAAAAATGATTTATAACAATGGATCATTTCGTTTTGTCTTAACATAAAATTAATTTCTATACTAAACGGTATTGTTCTAAAGAGAAAAGAAAAAAATGACATCTCATTAAAATCCGCCCCTAGGTTTAACCTCCAGTATCTACAGAACCTGCAGAATCAGTAACTTCCAGACTCTGCAACTGTATTTTAGTATGATAAATAAAAGATGTTGTCTGGTATCAACACTTTATTTGGCTAATGATCGTTTCCATCGCGTAGCGATCATCCTCAGAGCTTGCAGCTTCCGGGCCGAAAACAAAGTTCTGCCCAAAGAACTTTACATTTTAAGAACTATTAAAGTCTATTAAAGCTGAAAAAAGGCAGATTTTAATGTTCCTTCTTATCGGCTCCTAATAAACGGTTTTAAAGAAACGAGATACAAAATAAGAGAAAAAATTGGGAGTGGAGTAAACTATATATTGAATAGCTTGCAGCTTTCAAGCAACGAATTTCGCGTTTGAAATGCGCGGTTAGAATGGAAACGGGAAGATGGCGTCAGGCGTATCTTCGCAAGTTGGCGCGAAATGGGAGAGTAACATGGCCGAGCAAGTTCTTGCTTAGAAAACGTGATGCGTAGTTTAAACGATTGTAATTGCGTTTTGGCATTGACTGATAGTTTATAGAGAATATTCGGACAGTGATTTTGTTCGGTTTTACTGAAATAGTGAAGTCGTTCAGCGGTTATGTCGCATTCTGTTGCCCACGCGCCCCAACGACGCAAACCGACATTAATTGGACGTAGGGAAAAAGAAAAAGAGTGCACATGTGATAATGAGGTAATTCCGTTTTCTGTTGGGTCTTTGTCTACGAAATGTCAGTTTTATTCTGCTTTGTACCTCCCATGTGACAAATTCTGCAAACCAGTTTACTCTGTGTTGCTTTATGGAAAAATAAGTAAACTGCCAAAATAAATTAAACAGCTGTTTATAGCAGATGATGACACATCAAAAAACTTCAGAAATGTCTGTCTTTTGCGTCATTCGGTGGTGACATTGCCTTGTTATGGGCCATGTGTGTTCAAAATTCTGGAACCCCCCAAACATAGAATATAATCGTTACATCCAAGATCCAAACTGTGCAACATGTCGGTCATATATTTTAGATGTTTCAGAACTAATGCAATTAGTCTGAACAATTCTGTTAATGATAATTTAAGAAAAGATATTGAATGTCTGTGGTGTATTATGAAAATACACCCTATATCACGTCACACAAAATAATGCATTAGAAACTTTGTGAAGAAAAGGGAATTACTATTGAAAGAAAATCTTCCTCCTTTAGAATATTTGTAGTTGTAGGAAGACGCCGAAAATATTTGACTGCGATTTTCGAAAAAGTAAGGTTTTCAACGAACATAAAAACATCACTATTTTCTTCAACTTCCTATACACTATCCAACAACATAATTTAATCAAAATCGATGGTCCAATTTTTTTGAAAATTTTGAAAGTGTCCCAACGGTTTCATGTACATTTAAAATATGTTTCAAATTCAAGGCGCCGTGACATCAGTCAGATAGATTAAGGAATATCAAAGAAATCCGCTGAACGGTTTAGCCGCAAGTGTTGTTCACAAACGGACGGACAGACAGACGCTTTACCGTCATTCGGTATCAAGGACCCACAAAACAAGGATTCTTGCTGCACCAGGTGTAAAAGAAGATTTTTCTTAAGAATGAGATAAAGTGACAGTTCGCGAAACAAGTGAACATCACGTGTACTTCAGAGAAGTATCCCTCCGCAGCGTCAGCTGTTTAGTTACGCCCCTTCGTAATAGAGAATTCTTTTATATTTCTTGATGATTGCCTGTGTTACTTTTCTTGAAGTAAGTTTCCAAATTAATTTTCAGACAATCAATTTTCTAAATTTCACTTTATTTCATAAGTACAAATAATAAAGTTGTCTACAAATTAACTTGGAAATTTACTTCAAGAGAGGATTTTGTTTCTAAATTAAGCAACTGAATTTATTCACTTTTTCGGAACCAGGGCCCTATAATAAGCGTTGAATATTGAAATGTTGAATGTTGAAAATTCGCCGTTTTTTCGCGCATTACATAACTTTCTCTCTACGCTGTAGCGAGAAAGTAAAAATTATAAAGGCTAAACCCATACAAGAAGCTTCATATCCACAAAATTATTATTTTATTCTAAATAATTCAAATTCACAAAACAATGTACATAACTTCATTCCTATAATAATATGCGACGTTTGGAAATCATGTACTTCTTGGGTTGATATTCATGTTATACTTCTAAACATCCTAAGTACATTGAGTCATTCTGATGTAATGGCAAATGTTTCAATAGACCGCTTCTCTCCTATGGATTCCAAGACTTCTTTCTCATTCAATGCAAGGAAGAAGCTTCACATTAGCTCTTCTTGTGTTTTTCTTTTATTCTTATATAATACTTTTAAATCAGAAAAACTTCTTTCCATAAGAGTGGGTGCTGATAGTATCATGAAAATGAATTTAGCTAGCTGGAAAATCGCTTTGATTACTTGGTCAAAATTTTCTTCTTTCAAAAATTTTACCAATGTTAATTGGGATTTGTCCTGAAATGTTGAAATTCTATTAAAAACAATTAGTTCATCGTTTAACTTCCAGAGATTCAAAACATTCTATGCAAGTTAGAAAACAAAAATAAAAATTATTATTTCATGATCAAAATTTAAAATATTCAGTCAATCAAAAGCTTTCCAAATACAATGAACTAAATGTTTTTTTCTTTTAGGTAAACAATAACATCCAATTTTTTCCTAGGGCATGACAATGAAAAAAATGCTAAGAACACTAAGAAAATCAGTAAAAGCAAAAATAATCAAGTATCTGAAAAGGAGAAAATACACAAAGTTTGGTTGGTGAAGTTAAAATGCAACAGAGAAGATAGAACTCAGAACTTTATTGTTTATTTATGCGACTATAGAAAACATTGTGTTAAAAAAATATTTCTGTACAATTTGAAAAACCTAGTTATATTTTAAACATTTTTCCATATTCTAACAACAATCATTATAGGACTCTCAGCGTTTATTGTTTTCAAAATAAGATCAGATAAAAGTAGATATTTTCCTGTGTTAATTATTTCTTCAGTGGGTGTTTCCATGGGTAGGACACAACCTTTGAAGTACTCTTTCCGAGTCTCATTGTGATCACAAACTTCCAAAGAATAATTAAAATCAAGTTGATTTGTTGCTGCACGTATGACCTGAAATAATGATTACATGAGTTCAAGCTTCCATATTCTATTTCTGCATTAATAAACCCACCTGCATAAACAATCCTGTTAAATCGCCCACACACACTTTTTGTAGGAAAAATAAGCCCCACTGTTTTATGTGGAAGGCATGTACAATATTTTGCGATTCCTTGAAAACACCAATACAAAAATTTTCTCTGAAAACAATTTAAAAGTTATTTTTTCCTCAAAACCAAAGTAAAGAGCAAAATGCTGTAGTAATACATACCTTTCTTCAACAGAGTCAACAAAATTAAAGACATTCGTGTGATGATTTTTTAAATGAATGCACATATTTTTGTAACCATTGATCTGACCACATACCGGGTCAATTGGACACTGGTAAATAATACGAAATGAGCATCTTTCTTCATGAGCAAATTTACTGTTGAACAGAACAGTTTCGAAACACCCTCCTGCACGATATTTACACGGCAATGGAATCTGCAAAAAATGATGAATTAAAAAACAGATTATTGCAAACCATTGTTCATTGATAAATTCATAAATAACAGGGAGTGCGCGTGTGTCTATCGCACGTAAACGCAACAACTACTTAGCCGATTTCGCTGAAATTTTCAGATTTTTTCCGTAATAGTATTGAGTGAGTTTAAAGAGCAACCAGCCGCACCGTCAGGTATTAGGCGCGAATTCACTGCATACAAATATTCTGCCAGTGCGATTGTGGAATATCGGTCGGAATAATCTCTTGAATGTTATCTCAGGCAAGTAAATCAAATTTCCCCCAGACAGTGTTATATTATAGTGAAAGCATGCCTAAACATGAGGGGGAGAGCTTTTTAATAATTGGTTACTTACAACCATGTCCAAACCAGAGAATTGAAAAACCCTCAAGAGAAAGTCGTCTTCAGAAGTGTTTCACCATCAGAATTTTTGCCGAGCTTAACGTAAAACATGACTAACAATGACGTGACCAGTCGCATGTGATGTGCAATACACTGCAATAGCGAAGCATTGCTCTGTCCCCTAGTCTTACAAATGTAACATTTCAGAGCAAACTAATTTGATTGTAGAGAATTGTGTCAATCCGCTAACGACAAAGATAAGAAGTTAATACAACTCTATTTAAACATCTCCAGGGATATTTCTCGATCAGAACTTAAATTTGAATTTTGAATTACAAGCAAAATTTAAAGATAACTGATTAACCAAGACCTAATTGACTTACTACAGTGTATATCTAGACCCACTGGTTTATCTCAAGCCACTGGCGTCTCTGTATCACCCAGGGCAATAGTAATAGTACATTTGGTAACCCTCTCTATTTATTTGAATATAAAAATGTAGAATAAAGAATTAACAATGGATATTTTTATTAAAAATATTAATTTATTTACACATTGTATTTGTGATTTTTAAAACGTATATTCTTTGCATTATGGAATGGTTGAATATTTCTTAATCAAAATAATTTCAAATTCTCTTCTTTACTTTCTCGCGCTTAAGAAGGAAACTTTTAAAAAGAGAAACTTTTGCTATGCTGCGCCGAAAAAACGGCGACTTTTCGGCAGAAAAACTCTTATTACAGGGCCCTGTTAACGAAAAAGTGGACAAACCCAGTTGCTAAATTTATTTTTTTAAATCCTCTATCATGTGGTGTAGCCAGAATCCGTTTTGTGGGCCCTTGATGCCGAAAAATCGATTGATGGTCTCTCTTCGTCCGTAAACAACATTAGCGGCTAAAGCGTTTGGCCGATTTTCTCTACACTTGATATTTTTGGACCGATCTGGTTGATGTAGCGGGCCTTTGAATTTGAAATCGATATTCTAATTTTGGGGGGAACTTTGCACGAAACCCCTGAGACATTTTCAAAAAAGTGACATCGATTTTTATTACATTTTCTTGTTGGATAGTCTGAAGGATGTTTAAGAGAATGACGCAGATATCATGTAGGTTAAAAACTAATTTTTCGAAAATTGAAAAAATTCATTTTTTTTCGTCTTTCTACGACTAAAGTATTAGAGATAGAGATTTTATCCGTTAATAAAATCTGTTCCCCTAAGATACATTTTGAAGTAGGCGCATGTACAATTTTTCGAAAATTTGAGTATTTTTCGCGTAATATATTGCGTGAAATATAGGCAATTTTCAATGTTAAAAAACATTTTTTTCTCAAAAACGGCTCCATCGTTTTTGATGAAATTTTGTTGGTGGATATTGTGAAGGACGTTTAAGAAAACGGTGCAGGTCTCATGTTTTTTTAAAACAATGATTTTTTGACAATTGAAAAATTCAAATTTGTTTCGACGGTTCCCAGAACTTCAATAATGAAGATATACTTTTTTCTTAATAAAGTGTGTTCATCAAAAACAAATTTTCAAATAAGGTCATGGTGAATTTTTCGAAAATATGAGTATGTTTGGAGTAATTGGGCGTCAAACAGGGTCGCCCGCTCTGAAAATTCTGCACTTTTTTATCGTAATTTTAGAGGTGATTTCAGCCAGTTGGAGGCTACGTAAGTTGGAATGAGTATATTATTTCATATCTAATATTTATTTGTTTATTTCTTACATTGGAACTTTTGTTGTAAGTAGAAATTATTTAAATATATTTGAAATAAAGACTGCTATCATTCAGTCACCCGCTCCCATTTTAGCATTCAGTCCCCATTATTATTATATTTATATTTAATTTTAAATTGCGTCCATTCGTTGTGATAAATGTGAAAAACAAATAGATGAGTGGTTATTGTTGAAACTTGTCACATATTGTCGAACTGCCGCACAGATAAAAGGCGGTAAAGACGACAGCTGTTTGTTCGCGGTAAAAAAACAAATACTTTTATATATTTGTAGAATATCACAATACCAAAATGTTTAACAATTACTATTACATACTTCCGATTTACTTTTTTACCAACGCTATCAGTTATCGTATTATTTATTTACTTTTATTTTTTTCTCGTATCTTGCATATTTTTCTCACCAAATGTTCAACGATTTCAAATGAGTTTTACAAAAAATAATTCAGAGAGAAATTGTGGCATACATAGTATTACATAACCATTACTAATGGCGAGTAAGTACGTGGCTGATTTTGCACCACTAGTTTGCTTTAGAAGTCATGTCAAGGGAAATGGAATGGAGTAATTCGTGAGATGTAGGTAGTACAGCCCTACACCAAATTTTGCCATTAACGTAATAATGTACATATCTCTGTACTTAGATATAATTTAGAATTATTTTGCTGTATTTTCATTGTGTTGATAATGTTTGGTATAGAGTATTAACTCAATGCAAATTGTTCATCTACAATCTAATCTAATTCCATTCGTTTTTACAAAAAATGCTGTATCAATAGCACACATATTGACATTCAGCTGATGACTTTCACAGAGGTAAGATTTTGAAAATAGATAAAAATCTACAAACTACTATTATTTTGAAAGCTTATGATAATTTTAGATTCTGCAGATCATAGAAATATCTAAATAGATATTTTTTTCAAATACATTTATATTTAATAAAAGTATCTGTATTTAATTTGGAGAATATTTGATTCAGATAATAAAAATAATTCTAATACCTCTTCAATCAAAGATTCTGCTAAATAGTTGCGTTTTCTTGATCGAGAGCTTCTGCATAACGGACACATTCTCACTTTGGACCAGCAAGATTCACATGCAATGTGACCTTCTTTGCACTGATATGCGGGAGGTAATATCATCTCAAAACAAACTGGACATTCCAACATGCTCCATATATTAGAAAAGTCATAATGCTCAGACGTAATGTGCTCTTCAGTTTGTGTTTCCTGCGTGACAATAAAAAAAATAATAATTATTGACCAAGTAATGAGAATGTAACTGTAAATTTTTTTCCCTGTCAATTTGTGTGAATAGACATATGAAGATTAATTGTTGCTCTTATTTCATAGAAAGTGTTACAAATAAGAATTGCTTTTTTGTTAAAGAAAATGAGATACAAGAAATTCTTTAAGATACAATGAAGGAGGATTTTCCCCATGTGACTGAACGTTCCCTTTAATAAACTGTCGCACCATACAGTTTGTGAGACTGTCTAGAGAAACAACTAACCAGTTGCAACATTAGTTAATTTCAAAGTTGCTTTTAAGTCAAAATTTAATTTTTTCAATAAATTTAAAAAAAATACTGTTATTGAATATGAGAAGATAAGATCGTTTGTGAGTGATCAGTTTTCCTACAAGGAAAAACTTACCTGGCTTCGCACCTCTTTTGAACCTGCAAAGTAAATGAGTGTTAGCATTGACAAAATCATTTAAAGTGGGGTACGTCCAACAATGAATGAATTATTACAAAATATTAACTTCGTACACGTATCTTAATCTATGAGTACGCTAACCAGTTAAATGTTCAAGTCACAAAAATTGTGTTAGGAGGGAGTGTAACATTGCCATATAGTCGTTTCTTTTCAATGTCTGATTTTTTTTGCATCAATCTTCACAGTATTTATTTTGACGATATAATCAGTCACCAAACTCCATTGTTCATGCAAATGCTGAGATGGTCTTGAGCAAATCCTTCCTTGAGCAAATGCTGAGATGGCCCCTTTTTTTGCTTCTGGACATAAATATAAGTGAAACTTCACATTCACTTCTCCCCCGTCCTCCACAGTTTTTAACGGTTTTTGACATAGATAAATAAAAAATATGCACGATTTTGACGTCACAGTTTTTTTATAATTTGAAAGGCTTTATTATGTAACGGCATGTGACGTCATGGATACTAACAGCGAACACAGGCACAGAGCTTTCATATAACAAATATTTATTTACATAGAAAATACAACAAATATTTACAATGAATTTCCTTACACACTAGCTCTGATAGACCTACTATCCCCTCGGGAGCGATCCAAACCCGATTGATGATCGGTTTCGATTGTGGCATTCGCCACTCCTAATTCTGAAGCGCGCACAAAGCCTAGCTTCCGTGACCGGATGTCACACTGGGACACAAAGTCCGTACTGGCGTACCAACTAATGGTTTGCCTAGATCGCAGGAGCGATCTTACCCGATTGAGAATCGGCGTGAATCGTGCCACTCAACCACTCCTCACCTCGGAGCACGCACTCAGCATCACTCCCACGTGACCGCAGTCACCCAAGGACACAAAGTCCACCTCAGGCCCGTCAACACGCGAGCCCTGCCCGCAGATGCACCGTCGTGGCGCCAAGTTTTGTGCAAATGCACGAGGTTCTCCCACTGTCTCCAGAACCCACCCACTGGCTCTGTGCACTCCGTTATATAGTCGAGGCTCACGTGACCTACTACGTCACGCCACCCCCACCGCTAACCATTAAGGATTCGGGTCTCCGTTTCTTAAGGCCGGAAGACCCCAAAGCCTTGTGTCCCCCGTTTCCGCGTTCTTGCTTTACGGCAAAACCCTTCTCTCCTTCCTGCGGCGAGGAGTTTCCTCTTACTAACCCCTTACCAAGCGTCCCCAAATAGATGCCACGAGGCACGCTGGCTAATACGTTTCAGGCACATCCCCCGTGTTCAGTGCCGCCCTCGTTCTCAGTAATTAGACCATTCGGCGCCGTCCCCGGCCTGCGTGGGTGAGTTCGTGGATCAGAGGAGTCTTCTTGCGGCCCTTCCCGCCACAATGACACGTAAAGTAATTCCAAATGGGCGCGACTGCCGCTGGCTACGCACGTGGTGTAGGCTCTAGGGGCGAAAAAATAGAATTGATTTAATTAATGCCTTATTTTACGTGGCGAGACTCAGGCCATGAGGCCTGCTCTTCCGTCTGACCCAGCAAATTTCGCTACGCGCCTTTCACCAACTAGCAGAGAAAGGAGGTATTTCTTGGGCGAGAAACAGGCGATTTGAATTTAGCTCAGAGGCGTCATTTAGGCTTGAGGATCTTTTACAAGCAAGTAAATCTACTAACATGGGACAGCCGGCTTTACTTCCCCTCCGAAGGAAGGCGTTCGAAGGATTTTTTCGCCCTTAAAAATCCACAGCTTCGATCGGGTTTGAACCCGCCAACTTGGGTACAACAGTCCGATACGCTGACCGTTACACCATCGCCGCGTGCAACAAACACAGCCACAGATCGATTGATTGGCATGTGTGTGGTTTTGTGCATGCTAGTGTGTGTGTGAGAGAGTAAGGGGTGAGGATAGGACAAGGAAAGTAAGGTCGGGAGCGTTCTGTGGCCCGTTTGTGAGGGGACTGCTCTAGGTCGGACGGAGAAATCACGTAAAACTACCGATCCGAGCAGCCGGCCGCTAGAATTCTCCTCAGCGGCTGAATGCGGTGCAGCTGAGATGTTAGTGTCGAAAATCTTGTCACTGTCGGGACTTGTAACTAGGACCTCCCAGTCAGAGGGAGTGCTGCGACGTCAGCCGTCGCCCTGACCTATCTCTCCTGGTGCAAACGCAGCCACCGTACTCAGTGGCAAGAGCGAGTCTCTGGTAGTGACGTCGCCTGGTGTACTTGTACATAAGGAGCGAGCGGCGACGAAGCAGTAGCACTGTATAGAAACAGAACTCCGTGTTACAAGTGGCTACTACTGTGATTGTGCCTACGCTGACCGCGGTTCGATGTATTGTTGGTTATAATTGGATATTGTTTATTTTAGATTGTACTACAAAATCTCCTGGCGGCGACGCCGTGCGACTTTCATGGACACCTTTTGGTATACACGGTTATGATCATTGTATTGGTACGTTTTGGAATTTGGTTTGTAAAATGTGAATAACACAGTTGATTTTTTAGTGATAGTTATAACTTGTTATTGTCTTTGATACGGAGCTCGATAAAGAATGCAAAATTTACCTGAATCGAAAGGATCAAGGGTTATGAGGGAAATATGAAAACAGTTAAGTGATGCTTCATGTTCTCTTGAAGAAAATTATGACAGGGAAACATTAAAGAGAATTATGGAAAGGAAAAACCGAGAAAAGTTAACATCTAGTTAATTAGTAAAGCCGGAGAATTTTTGACAGAAATACTCTTAGTTTCGGGCCCTGGTAATGAAAAAGTGAATACGACCTGTTGCTAAATTTAGAAAAAAAATCCCCTAATACGTATTGTAGCCAGAATCCATGTTTTATGGGCACTTGATACCCAAAAATAGATTGACGACAAAGCACCTCTGTCTAAGATTAACGCCAGCAGCTAAACTGTTCAGCTGATTTTCTCCAAAATTGAAATTCCTCACTCGATCTGGCTGATGTCACTGCTTCTTGAATTTGAAATTGACATTTTAATTTTGGAGGGGGACTTTAGGACTGGGGATATAGCCACAGGGACATTTCAAAATTTTCAAAAAATGGCGTCAAATTTAATAATTTTTTTTGTTGGATAGTGTAATGGACGTTTAAGAGCATGAAAAATTTAAGAATCAATATATATATATATATATATATATATATATATATATATATATATATATCGTGTATACGTAATATTTAATTGAGAGTATCATTTTTCGTAGGAAAAATAGTCAAATATAAACGAACAGTATAGAACAATGGAATAGTACAACTCTAACCCTGCCCCCTCCCGGACAGAGACTGCCGAGACAAATTTTTTGCCCTATCTCAGCCGGTACGCAAACAATTACCTTGTGTAAGGAAGGACTTACTCTACATGTAAATTAAAATGGTTTAATTTACATATGCTACCCAGCACGTTACGGCTATTTCTAACATCAAGACTAAGCAGCAAAAATTGAACAAATGTACGATAAGGCTGAAACGATATTTACCTGGAAATAACCCTTCCTTTGCTGGGAAATAGGCCTTGTTGAGAGCTCCAGAAATCGTCGCACCAAAACTAGGAAAGTCACCTTTAACGTCCTTTGAAGACTTCACGGAGAAATGTGGATGGCCAAATGCAAACGCTGGTGATACGGGGGTAGTGAACCTTGCATTCCTGGTCAACCCATCGGATGATCTAAGAGCACTTGCAATCATATCCCTCACAATAGTGTTCAGAACAGGAGAGGGAGTTCCAGACTGTAGTGCAACTGACACATCCGATGAAGAGGTCACTTGCACTGCATTAGAAGAATCAGTCCCAAGCGCCTCTGGACAACACGTAAAGTTTCCGTCAGTTCTAGCAGCACGCTCTAAGCCATCTAACGCAGATTTGGGATCGGTAACACCATTGGATTGTGGTAAAGACAAGCCAACCGCAGAACCCGCGTGTTTAATACGATTGTATTTGGATATAGTCGACTCTGATCCATTCTCAGCAGATGCATTGCTTTCCTCAATTTCTCTTGAGGTTAAGTATCCAAAAGCACCTTTAATGGTACCTACTGCAGCACCCGCATGTTTAATAAGGTTGTATTTGGATATAGTCGACTCTGATCCATTCTCAGCAGATGCATTGCTTACCTCAACTCCTCTTGAAGTGAAGTATCCAAAAGCATCTTTAATGGGATTGTAATTGGGTATTGATGACACTGATACATTCTCAGCAGATTCCTTGCCGTTATCTCCGACTGACGTACTAGATGATCCATTGGCACTTGTAATGGCACCTACTGCAGAACCCGCATGTTTAATAGGATTGTTTGTGGACTGTAATTCATTCTCAGCAGATCCATTGCTTTTCTCATCTCCGACTGGCGTACCAGATGATCCAAACGCACTTGCAATGGCACCTACTGCAGTACCCGCGTGCTTAATAGGATTGTATTTGGATATTGTGGACTCTGATCCATTCTCAGCAGATGCATTGCTTTCCTCATCTCCGACTGACGTACCAGATGATCCAAACGCACTTGTAATGGTACCTACAGCAGAACCCGCATGTTTAATAGGATTGTTTGTGGATATTGTCGTTTCTGATCCATTCTCAGCAGATCCATTGCTTTCCTCAACTCCTCTTGAGGTGCCGAAGTGTCCAAAAGCACCTGTAATGGCACCTACTGCAGTACCCGCGTATTTAATAGGATTGTATTTGGATATAGTCGACTCCGATCCATTCTCAGCAGATCCATTGCTTTTCTTATCTCCGACTGGCGTACCAGATGATCCAAACGCACTTGCAATGGCACCTAACTGCAGTACCATAGGTTCTGTTGCGGGTCGCGGGCAGGGGTATCGCTAGGCACGGGCAAATAGGCGAGTTACATGGTGAATCCAAGACTCTCATGCTGGTAGAGCCACATGAGCAGATCCGGTCTGCGCCGGATAGTACGACAGCCTGGAAATATGAAGGCTAGCTTCGAGATAGCGCGGATTGCGAGGTCATAGGTAGATCGCTAGGGACGCCTCAAGACGAAACGAGTTAGAGTACCTTAACGAACGGGGCCGCGCGGCACGTACTCTTTCACGCTACGCGTGGAAGTCATCTGTTACTGCCGGCCTTATGACTTTTCGCAGGCGGACGATTTGGGATCGTACAGACATGGTTACTGTATTAGCAAGCGCAAGGGACCGCGTATTTAATAGGATTGTATTTGGATATAGTCGACTCTGATCCATTCTCAGCAGATCCATTGCTTTTCTTATCTCCGACTGGCGTACCAGTATGATCCAAACGCACTTGCAATGGCTATCCTACTGCAGAACCCGCATGTTTAATAGGATTGTATTTGGTATTGGTGGACTCTGATCATTCTCAGCAGATGCATTGCTTTCCTCATCTCCGACTCGTTACCGGGGATATCCAAACGCACTTGTAATGGCACCTACTTGCGCGTACCGCCGCGTATTTAATAGGATTATATTTTGGGATTTACTGTGGACTCTGATCCATTTCCAGCAGATCCATTGCTTTTTCTTATCTCGCGACTGGCGACGGATGATCCAAACGCACTTGCAATGACACCTACTGCAGTACCCGCGTGCTTAATAGGATTGTATTTGGATATTGTGGACTCTGATCTATTCTCAGCAGATGCATTGCTTTCCTCAACTCCTCTCTTGAGGTGCCGAAGTGTCCAAGCACCTGTAATGGCACCTACCGCAGCGCCGCATGTTTAATAGGTTGTATTTGGATATAGTCGACTCCGATCATTCTCAGCAGATCCATTGCTTTTCTCATCCCGACGGCGTACAGATGATCCAAACGCACTTGTACTGGCACTACTGCAGTTACCCCCTGTATGTAATAGGATTGTATTTGGATATTGTGGACTCTGATCCCATTCTCAGCAGATGCATTGCTTTCCTCAACTCCTCTTGAGGTGCCGAAGTGTCATAAAAGCACTGTAATGGCACCTACCGCAGCGCCCGCATGTTTTAATAGGATTGTATTGGATATAGTCGACTCGCGATCTTAATTCTCAGCAGATCCATTGCTTTTCTCATCTCCGACTGGCGTACCAGATGATCAAACGCACTTGTAATGGCACCTTACTGCAGTACCGCGTATGTAATAGGATATGTATTTGGTATTGTGGACTCTGATCCATTCTCAGCAACTGCATTGCTTCCTCAAACTCCTCTTGAGGTGCGCCGAAGTGTTCCAAAAGCACACCTGTAATGGCAGCCTACTGCGCAGCGCCGCATGTTAATAGGATTGTATTTGGATATAGTCGACTGATCTATTTCAGCAGATCCATTGCTTTCCTCATCTCCGACTGCGTACCAGATGATCCAAACGCACTTGCAATGGCACCTACTGCAGTACCCCGCGTAGTAATAGTTGTATTGGATATTGCTGGACTCTGATCCATTCTCAGCAGATGCATTGCTTTCCTCAACTCCATCTTCGAGGTGCGAAGTGTCCAAAAGCACTTAATGGCCCCTACCGCACGCCCGCTGTTAATAGGATTGTATTGATATAGTCGACTCGATCTATTTCAGCAGATCCATTGCTTCCTATCCCTACTGGTCACCAATTGTATACAACGCCTTGAATGGCACTACCGTACGTCGAAATAATGTGTGATAGTATATGACCGAAATCTCAGCTGTCATCTCCCACTTCCTTCGAGTGCGATAGCTATATAAGTCTATCTCGTAATGGCTATCCATATGCGTCCCATGGTTAATTAGGATGTTATTTGGATTATATGTCGTATCTCTGATCATTCTCATGCAGATCCATTTGTTTTCTCATCTTCTCGAGGCGTACAATGATCCAACTGCACTTTGCAATGGCACTACTTGCGTACCCGCGTGCTAATAGGTTTGTATTTGGATATTGTGGACTCTGATCCATTCTCCAGCAATGCATTGCTTTCCTCAACTCCTCTTGAGGTGCCGAAGTGTCCAAAAGCACCTGTAATGGCACCTACGCAGCGCCCGCATGTTTAATAGGATTGTATTGATATAGTCGACTCCGATCTATTCTCAGCAGATTCCATTGCTTTTCTCATCTCCGACTGCGTACCAGATGATCCAAACGCACTTGCAATGCAACTACTGCAGTACCGCGTATGTAATAGATTGGTATTTGGATATTGTGGACTCTGATCCCATTCTCAGCGATGCATTGCTTTCCTCAACTCCTCTTGAGGTGCCGAAGTGTCCAAAAGCACCTGTAATGGCACCTACCGCAGCGCCCGCATGTTTAAATAGGATTGTATTTGGATATAGTCGACTCCGAATCTATTCTCAGCAGATCATTGCTTTTCTCATCCCGACTGGCGTACCAGATGATCCAAACGCACTTGCAATGGCACCTACTGCAGTACCCGCGTGCTTAATAGGATTGTATTTGGATATAGTGGACGCAGTTGAATTCTCAGCAGATCCTTTGCTTCTACCATCTCCAGCTTGCGTATCAGGTGATCCAAAAGTACTTTTAATGGCACCTACTGCAGAACCTGCATATCTTATAGGATTGAATTTGTATATTGTCGACTCTGATCCTTTCTCTGCCGATGCTTTGCTTTCACCTCCCATAATAGAAGATCCTAATGTAATTTTGCACTATCAACCGGGACAATCGCCAGGATTGTAAGAATGAATTTTCTAACTGGAGAAAGTGATGCTTTTTGTAGTTACATGGTTTTCCTAAATATCTGGTGTACAAGGAAACTACAATGACGTTTTTATCGATCCCAAATACTGAATGTATGATATTTGATTAAAAATCTATTTTGAATATTAGGATGCTTTTGTAATCGTGGATTTGGTTCTTCCATTTGTATTATCAAATTATCCTTTAATTTAATTAAATCCTACGCGGGTTTTTCTTTACAGTCGAGTATCGCCGTGTAATATATACATTTTAGGACTATATTTTTTGCAGCATTTATGAAGTGTGTTTGATGGCAGTCTATTAGTGAATATGGAAATACTGCTTGTGGAGGCAATTTCTGAAAGTTCAAGAGAACATTATTTGTTAAACCTATACACTGAAGTGTTTACTAAACATGTTCACACAAATAGGTAATTCTTAACAGAAAAATGTAAACATAAGGAAGTTAATTTTCCTTCAGGGTTTATCCAAAATATCCAAATTAGTCCAATTTAAAAAAGAATTTTAACTACTATTCAGTTTCTATATGCAATTCTCAATCCGTCTTGGCGCTATCTACGGCAGAAAACAGTGTTTTGGTAGGTTTAAGTCAAAGACAAACAGCTCTTTTCAGAAAATATTGTATAGTACACAGAGAATTCAGAATGTTACAGTGCATCCAGTGGGAAGTTAAAAATGACCACTTCTTGGCATGGAACGTGTGGGAAATTTCGAATATCGAAGTTACACACATGACATTTTTGAGCTCGAGCCTCTTATTGGAAGGCATCCCATCTAACCCTGTCGTTTGGCAAGATGTGTTCATTACAAAAATTTCTCGAAATGACGCAATGTGTGATGAGTGCATTGTAATGGCGATGCGCGTTTCGACGCAAAGTCAAAAATTCAATTTTCTCATTGCCGCTGGGCATGTCTCCTGATTGATTCATCCGTTGATGTTTCTGGGCACGGCAAACGTTGGTCGCGTTAGGTGGTGATATCTTTTATCGCGGGAGATGATGGTGTTGGGGTGGTTAGTCCCGGCACCGATCGTTTGGAAGATCAGTGATTCCGGGCGTGTCAGCTGCTAGAGTCATTAGTCCTGTAAGTGCGGAGCATGTTTCATTGCGGGAGATAGTAATCACCTCCCGGTTGGATGGTGAGTTCCGGCACCGAACTACCGCTGGCTAACGAATTTTCCCCCAACCAGGAATCTCCCATCAGCGTCGCTCCATTCCAGCCGGAACAAGCTCTAAGACTCACGACAAATGTAGTAGTGTAGTGCATAGAAATGATTAAAGGGTCATAGTGAAAAGTGTAGTGAAGTGAAGTGTAATGAAGTGCAGTTGATCAAAGATTCAGTGCGGAGTTTGATTACGTTTCTTTTTTTAAAGGTAATTTTAAATTTTTTATGAATTAATTTTATATCATTATTATTTTTATTATCAATGATATTTTAATTTTCATTATTATTTTATTATTATATTATATTATTATATTATTTTATTATTATATTATATTA